AAAGTCCTCGTAACACCCCACCCCAACAATGAGTCTTCCCAAGGAGGCGGATAGCGAGGGAGCCGGGTGAGCACGTGCAACCAAGCCCAGCCCTGTGGGCGGGGTCCTGGAGGCGGGGCTTGGAGGTACTCACGAGGGCCTCTCGCTGCCGCTGCAGGACAAATTGGACCGGAGATTAAAGGACTGGAGTTTAACTGGAGGTGACTGCGTTCGTATGCAAATGGAATCTATAAAACTCTACTTTCCGGGGTAGCCTTTAATGCCTTTTTACCTCCGGGTGGGCGGGAAAGACTAAAGTTTCCCCTCCTCCTCTTTCATTTTGCCCCTGCCCATGGAACAGATGGGCAAACTAAGCTCCGGGCCATTGGGGCCATTAAAGAAGGCTCTTGACGCCAGGTGTCTTGAAACCTTCCGTTTAAGAGGGATCCATTACCTAGCCTTGTTCTCCTTCCCCTTTACTCAGTTTCCCTATCTGTAAAAAAGGGTTGGAATAAGGACGAGGTCCAGCTGGAAGATCCCGAACCTCTGCGCCTTCCACCTCAGTTTCCCGAAGCTTTCCGGAAGCAAAATGCCGAATTTTGCAGCGACTCTCCGGCCCCCGGCCGAAGCCACCCGCTGCGGCCACCAGGTGGCGCTTGGCCACTGGTCACTGGGTCCGCCGAGGTGTCTGCCTTCGGCGACCCCTTCGGGAAAGGTCTTCGTGGCTGCCGCCCCGGGTCTAAACCCTACCTGGCCCGCTTGAAGACAAAGAACGAGAACGTTGGTGCTTTGCCCGCCTCTGCTTTGCCGGGTCATGCTGCAGCTTCCTCGCTGGCTGCTCATTCGCCCTCTCCTGTCCCCATCCGCCCCACCAATCCCTTAGCTCTTTTATGTCATTTTTGCCTAATTTTAAGTCCTCCTCCTGGCATTTGCATCCCTGCTTGGCCTGACCCTTGCCCATATTTCTCACCACACACCTTTCCTCACCTGCTACGCAGGTTGCAGCTGCACTTGCGGACAGCTGGACCTCACCAACACAGGTGAACCTTTATTTCATTCGTGCCCTGTGCCCACCACTGTTCCGAAAGACTTGCCCTAACGCTCTGCCGTTTAAACCTCATACTTCCTCTATGAGGCACCAACAGTATTGTCCCTATCCAACACTAAAGAAGTCCACCAGGAGTGATGGGGATTCCAGCTCCATTTTGTCACAAACCAGAACCTGAACCCTGTGCTTCTTCAAGCTGGAACGCGGCTGACTTCATCCGACCCACTCCCAAATTCCTATTCATCTTTCAAGATCCTGTTCAAGTAATTCTACAGTAGCATTTTTCTTAATTCCTTCCACCAGGGGACAACTAGATCCCCTCTGCTAGGTAGCAGTGTTTCAGGAGCCAAACCCTGTGACTAAGAGAGGACGGCCTGCCATTCCCTCAGCTGTGGGTTCTAAAATATGTCAGGACCATCTGGCCGTTCTTGGGGATCTCCCTTTTTGTCACAGGCTCTGGAGGTGGTGAGTTCTCTGTCCCTGGAGATGCAATCGGAGTCTTTAAGTGCCACTGCAGGAAGGTACAGCCCTGGACTTTCCGTAGTTGATGAAGATTCTAAGTCAACCCTCTTAGATGAACTCTTCTGCCAGAAGAGTTCAGCCAAATGCTCAGTCCCTGGAAAAAACTCCTCCAGTCCTTCAGACTACAGCTCTGTTGTCCCTTCCACAAGCCTTCCCACACCCACCTGACTAGTCACATCCATTTATTCTCACTCATAACCCCAATTGCTGAATACCGATCTGGCACACAGTAGGCTCTCTATAAATAATTACTGACTAGGTGAAAGAATGAAGAAAAACAGCTAACTGGCTGGGTGCAGTGGCTCACGCCTGTAATCCCAGCACTTCGGGGGGCCAAGGGGGGTGGATCACGAGACCAGCCTGACCAACATGGAGAAACCCCATCTCTACCAAAAATGCAAACTTAGGCGGGCTTGGTGGCGGCATGCCTGTTATCCCAGCTACTTTGGAGGCTGAGGCAGGAGAATCACTTGAACCCGGAAGGTGAAGGTTGCAGTGAGCCGAGATTGTGCCATTGTACTCCAGCCTGGGCAACAAGAGCGAAACTCCGTTTCAAAAACAACAACAAAAACAGCTAGCCTTGGGTGAGTGAATTCAGAGCGTCTATTTCCTGTTTTCTAAGAGGGGATGGTAATAATGATAGTTGCTACCTAGCAGGAATGCTATGAGAATTAAACGATGCCTGCAAAGCAATTAAAGGTCTGGCCTAATAAATGGAACCTGTTACTAATGTTACTTAAAGAGTGGTCCTAAATCTCAGATGCATGTCTTCTGAAAGCACTTCTGGGAAGAGTTAAATACCACACAACTGAGAAAAGCACAGGAAATGACTGTGCTGAGAGCCTAGCCACTGTCCTAACCATAGAGGGCCTATGAAGTAAGCACCCACTATGAGTTCAGCACCTGCCTTTTCTTTAATTTCTCTACATTTCTTCCCAACAATCCTAAGAAATCAATACTTTCCCCCCAGTTTACAAATGTGGGCACAGGCTCAGAAAGACAGATGAAAAAGACTCTCCTACCACCTGCAGGACTCAAGACAAAAGATCTGGAAAGGAATGTTATCTAAGGATAAGGAGGGATCTTAGGGGGCGTGGTCCTGAGGCCAGCAGCAGCAGACAGACAGGATCAGACAGGGACACAGCTAAGAATGAGGCAGGAATGGCTAGGCATGGTGGCTCACACCTGTAATCCTAGAACTTTGGGAGGCCACGAGACTTTCAGGTGGAAGGAATAGCATGTACCAAGATCCCAAGGCCAGATCAGGGCTTGGCCCATTTGAGGAGCTGAGGCACCTGTGCTGAGCGGAGTTCACTGAGAGAAGAGTGAGGAGGAGGCAGCCAGAGATCATCAGGTAATGTGGGGAAACGGTCAGCAGGGGGCAGAGTTCCTCTAGCGACAGCAGCCTTGCTCTCGTCCTCCCTAGAATCAGAGCCAGGCTGCATTCAGAGAAAGGGCCAGGGGTAGGGAATCCCTGCCTGCTTTGTTTAAGTACATTTTGTCTATTTTTTAAATAGATAGGACACATTACGAAATCCACAGGATGCAAACAAGTATTCCATGAAAACGCTTACTCCCTGGATCTCCTCCTTAGAACCACCATGCTGACTTCTTGCATTTTTTTTCAGATAGTCTATGTCCATAAGAACATACACAATGTTTACTCTTTTTTTTTTTTTTTTTGTGAGACGGAGTTTCGCTCTTGTTACCCAGGCTGGAGTGCAATGGCGCGATCTCGGCTCACTGCAATCTCTGCCTCCCAGGTTCAAGCAATTCTCCCTCCCCAGCCTCCCGAATAGCTGGAACTATAGGCAAGTGCCACCACACCCAGCTAATTTTTTGTATTTTTAGTAGAGACGGCTTCACCATGTTAGCCAGGATGGTCTCCATCTCCTGACCAACTGATCCACCTACCTCAGCCTCCCAAAGTGCTGGGATTACAGGTGTGAGCCATTGTGCCCGGCCAAGAGTTTGCATTTCTAACAAGTTCTCAGGTGATGTGGAGGCTGTGGGTCCAAGGACCACACCTTGAGAACTGCTGAGCTCTATCAAGGAGAGAAACTAAGAATGTGCTCTGGGAAGTCATGCTCCAACACAAGGGAACATACACACCAACAAGAAAGACAGTCCCATTGAGCAATAAATTCTGTGAAGAAAATGAGACCAGGCAGGGTGGTGCACACTTAAAATCCCAACACTTTGAGAGCCCAGGTGGCTGGATTCCTTGAGCCCAGGAGTTTGAGACCAGCCTGGGCAACATAGGAGACCCCATCTCTACAAAAAATACAGAAATTAGCCATCGTGGTGGCATGCACCTGTAGTCCCAGTTATTCAGGAGGCTGAGGCAGGAGGATAGCTTGAGCTGGAGAGGTTGAGGCTGCAGTGACACGTATTTGCAACACTCCACTCAAGCCTGGATGATAGAGGAAGACCCAATCACAAAAAAAGGGAAAGGCTGGGTAATCTCATGCCTGTAATCTCAACACTTTGGGAGGCCAAGGTGGGAGGATTGCTTGAGCCCAGGAGTTCCAGACTAGGCAACAGAGTGAGACCCCGTCTCTCCAGAAATAGTGGTATCAGACAGCACAAGGGCTCACATACCCTGGGAACATGCATCTCTCATGCGAATTTTGCAACCACTCCAAAAGGAAAGCACAAGTCCCCCATCTTACAGATGAGGAAACTGAGGCACACAGAGGTGGAGGGACACGCCCAAGGTCCCAAGGCTCTCGGAACAGGACCCGCGTCCATGCGGGGAGCCCACGTGCCTCCCCCTGGTCCACTCCTGCGGGCTGCCAGCGAGACCCTCCCTGGGGCGCGGGCAGGGATGCCCTTCGGAGAGTCACCCGACGGCGGGGAGGCCCAGCGGACGGCGGGCGGGGTGGAGCGGGTTGCCCCCTCCGCCCTGGCTCCGCCCCCGGCGGCGCTGGAGGGGGCGCGGGGCGGGCAGCAGGGGGCAGGCGGGGGGCGCGGGGCAGGCCGAGCGGGCGGTGGCGCTGAGCTCGCAGTGTGGCCCGCGCTTCCCAGTGTCCGTGCCCGGTGCCTGTGCCCCCGTCCCCGTGGCGCCATGGCCGCGTCCGCCCTCCCGCCCCGGCCGCTGCTCCTGCTGCCGCTGCTGCTGCTGCTGCTGCTGCTGAGCGCCCGCCCCGCACGCGCGGACAGTAAGGTACGCGCGCCCCTCGAACCCGCGCGGCTCAACGAGGAGCGGGGCGCGAGGGGGCGCTGTGGCGGGGGTACGGCCCAGGAGGGGGCCAGGGGCCGGGGCGGAGGATCCGGGAGCGGGAAGACCGGACCTGAGACAGCACGGAAGCCGCAGGGGCAGGGGCCGGGAGAGAGGAGCGCGTGGGGGAAGAAGCGCTGGAAATGTAGGGATGCTCCGGACGGGGCCTCAGGAAGGGGCGCTGGGACCGGGTCCGATTCCCGGAGGGGCCGGGGGATTCCCCAGAGTGCTGGCCAGACTGGGTTCGTGGGGGGAAGCCGCTGGCAGCTGTTACCCACAGATTCCCAGGCTTGCAGCAGGCCTGCAGCACAGCTTTCAGGGCCGGCTGGGGACTCGGAGTCTCCTCTGCCCCACGAACGCAGCGGGGTTGGCCACTCGCCGGTCCTCTGATGTTCTTGCCAGGGACCGGGTGCACCCACTGGAGGACTAGGTAGCTCCAGAAGTGACCTGAGCTGTTCTCTGCCGTGACTAAGAGGATCTGCTCTGGTGTCAAGCCGACCTGGATCCAATCGCACATCCCCTTCTCTCTGAGCCTCTGTCTATTCACCTGTAGATAAAGGAAGAATCCTGGGACCCACTCCCGGCAGTTGATGATCTCTAGATTCGGTGTGGTCATGCCTGTAAAATAGCACCACAGCACTCGGGGTGTTCTGGAAATAACTCCCTGATGGCCTGGCACTGTGGCTCACACCTGTAATCCCAGCACTGTGGGAGGCCTAGGCGGGTAGATCACTTGAGGTCAGGAATTCAGGACCAGCCTGGCCAATATGGTGAAACCTGGTAGCCAGCCTGGTGGCACTCGCCAGTAGTCCCAGTTACTCTAAATAACTGTAGTAAAAGTACAAAAATTAGATGGGTGCTGTGGCAGGCACCTGTAATCCCAGCTACTCGGGAGGCTGGGGCAGGAGAATCACTTGAACCCAGGAGGTGGAGTTTGCAGTGAGACGAGATTTCACCACTGCACTCCAGTCTGGACAACAGAGCAAGACTGTCTCAAAAAGAAAGGAAATGACTTCCTGAAGACAGGCCTCGGGGAGAGTGAGGAGCAGGATGAGAGCCCTGGTCACAGAGCCTAAGGGCAAATGACAGCTTTCTTCTGATATCTCTGCAGCCTCTTTCCTAGTGGAACATGCATGTCCTGCCCATGGGCAGATAAAAGACAGAAACCACTAGCCACATGGTGAGTATATGAGCAGTGGGCACTGGCCAACCAGCAGCCTGATTCAGCTCAGGGTAGGAAAGCACCGATGTGCAATGCAGACCATGTACTCCAGAGACAAGGAGGGAATGGTATTGTTTCACTTTACAGGTGGGAAAATGAGGGTGTTTAGAGAGGCAGCTGGCTTATGGTCTGGCCTTCCGCTGCTATTGTTTTGCTGTGTGACATTGGGCAAATCACTGTCTCTGGGCTTCAGTTTCTTCATCTGAGAAATGTCTATCCAACCTTCCTTCCATTTGGGGCCCTCTGTGATTCCCTGATCTGGCTCAGGTAGGAGGACAAGTGAGCAGAAAATCCCAGATAACCTGATTGGTGCCTTGTCACCGCTGAGATCTCTGGCTGGGAGGGATATTTGGTCTTGGGCATCCTCTGTGCAGAGAGCTGTAGAGTTTGTGGGGGAGGGCTCACATTCAAAACAAAGCAAAGACAAAGAAAACCCAGCACCCTGTTTATGTAGTGAGTCAGCCAAACACTTGCTGGATTGTGTGTGTGTTTGGTGGGGTGGGGGGGTGTAGTGTTTAACTGTCCCGGACAAGCTGGGGATGGTGGGGTGGAAAGGCACAACCTACAGCTTGGAGGATGAACAGCTGGAAGACTCAGCACAGCCCTCCCCCAGACACCTCCCACCCACACACCACTGCAGCCAGCTGGGAAAAATAAAAATCAAGTGATGGGTGAATTTACTCTGCATTCCTTAGCTCAGCCAGACTCCTGCTGGCTCTGCAGAGAGAGCTGTTTTCATTATCACCCGCTCCCTCCCCCTGTCACACCCCCTCCCTTCCTCTCCAAGCTCATTCCGTTTTCCCTGGGGTGGAGGATGAGCCCTTCAGAGAGCCAGCCTGGGACCTGAAGTCAATGTAGAGCCCCAAAGGGTTAATTGGTCCCTCCTCAGGCTTCCTGTTCCTGGGGGCTCCAGTCTTCCCTCTGACCCAGTACATTCAGGGATCCAGGGCAGCTCCTTGGTCTCCTTGGCCAGCTCCTTTCTCAGCGTATGTTCATGTTTATAACTAGGTCTCTCCTAAACTGGATTTTGAGTTTCCATCTAAGGAAGTGCTTTCTCAGGGCTGGGAGTAGGAGAGGGGCCCCAAAGTTTCTCTGGTATTTCTGAAGGGCTGCCCAGCACAGAGATTGGAATGGACAGACAGGTAACCACTTGACACCCAGGCAGGGCAGCACAGACTTCTGGGAGGCTGCTTCTTGCTGTGCGTTCTTAGAATGTGGCTGAGAATTTTCCATCTCTACCTCAGTTTCCCCAACTGTGGAAAGGTTGCTGGTGCCTCGCTTCCTCCAGTATCAAGGGGTGGGAAGGAGGTCTTTGGTCAGCCTGCTGATCAGGGGCCCAAGGACAGAGGGAAGGCCAAGGGTGTGGGAGCACAGCCAGGGGAGCAGGAGGGGCTAGAGCAGGCAGGCGGTGGTGTCCGGAGCTGGATCAGATGTTCCAGGCCAGGCCAGGCCAGGCCAGTCCCGGGAGTTTAGGTGTTGCTTTGCCTCCACTTGGGAGTTTCCGCCTGTGGGTGTAATTGGAAACAGGCTCTCCGGCAGGCAGGCGAGGGCTACATAGTGATGGAGCTACACATCACAACTGCAAGGCCAGGCCCCACTGAGTCTCTCTGCAAGGAGGGTCTCAAACCAACACTCCCTTTGGCTGGGGCATCTGGGGCAGAGCTTTGAGGAGCATCATGTGTGCCAAGCCATGTGCCAAGCACTTACATGCAGAATCTTACACATCCCTTCTGCCAACACTCTGAGGCTTCAGCGGCCCCTCCCCATTTGATGGTCTTGAACATTGAGGATCAAAAGAGTTGGATTGGGGGTTGTTCAAAAATCCTAGACAGAGGGAGCCTGAGTAGTTGGATCTCTGGAGCCTCTAGGAAGCATCCAGGTAGCCTGGGGGAGCCAGAAAGTGTCTGAATCATAGGGTTGGAGGAGGGCCCAGACACCTGCAGCTCCCAGGTACACCCCCAGACATGGCCCCCAGTTGAGAACTCATCCAGGTAATAGGGATCCATGGAGGTTTGTGGAGCAAAAGTAACGTAGATTACCAAAGAGGAGCTTTTGGGAGATTCATCCAACAGAGGAAGCTGATATATTGTCCAGGCAGCAGTTAATGTGGCCTCAACTTGGGCTGTGGCTGTAGAGCGGAGAGCAGGAGGCCAAGGTCAGAGATATTTAGGATGAAAGGTCAGAAGAACACAACGACTGTCCAGGGTAAGAGGGAGGCTCAGAGATCCAGGCTAGGCAGGAGGGTAGTTGGACACGGGGCTGGGAGAAGATGCTGGGTCCGGTCTTACATTGATTGAGTTTGGGGTACCTCTGGGCATCCAAGGGTAGGTGCCCAACTGGCACTGTGCTTTCAGGGAGGTCTTTGCCTCATGGTGAGGCTGGGCTGGCTGTGAGGAAAGAGGGCAGACCTAACCTCAAGATGGCACAAGTTGGCCAGGCATGGTGGCTCATGCCTATAATCCCAGCACTTTGGGAGGCTGAGGCAGGCAGATCACCTGAGGTCAGGAGTTTGAGACCAGCCTGGCCAACATGGTGAAACCCCGTCTCTACTAAAAATAAAAGAATTAGTCAGGCATGCTGGCATGCGCCTGTAATCCCAGCTACTCGAGAGGCTGAGGCAAGAGAATCACTTGAACCCAGGAGAAAGAGGTTGCAGTGAGCTGAGACAGCACCATTACACTCAAGCCTGGGCAACACAGCAAGAATCTGTCTCAAAAAAAAAAAAAGATGACACAAATTGAGCCTGTTCAGTTGCTGGAACATTTCACAGCTTGAATGCCCTCTCCTCCACTCTAGCCAGACTCATCCATCTCTTTGCAGAAAAATCTCGAGTATACCTTCATCTCACTGTGGAATTTCCTTGCAAATACCTGGGTACTTTTTTAAGCACAAACCACTCCTAGTTTTGGGGGCTTTGGCATCCATGTGTGCTGAGCAAGCCTGCAGGGAGAGATGAGGACCAAGGCAGGTGCTTTCCTGCTTGGCACAACTCCAGCCTTCCTGCCAAGGGCAGAGGGGGCTGGGACCAGTAGGAGCCCCAGGTTCTACACCCCCCAGGGCCCAGCCCAGGGCCTATGGAGAGATCATCTGTTCCAGCTCAGTTGCTCAGGAGAAGCCCCTTCCTGGTGACTGTGGGTGGGCATGGGAGGGGCAACATGTAAACCAAGTTTTGGAGTCAGGCCATGCTGTGTGACCCTGGGCAAGCCCCTAGTCTTTTCTGATGCTCAGCTTTCTCCTCTCTAAGATGGGGTTATGATAAGAGCACAGAGAGGTAGAAAATAATGAGCAAATGGCAGGGAGCATTATCAGCAGTGATTTTGATGGCAGGTACCCCTTAGAGAGCAGCTGTTCTGTGCCAGGTTCCATGCCAAAGCCCTGCATGCATTGTCTCTGTTCAGACCATGAGCTTATGACCAAGGGACTGTGGTTCTCCCATTTTACAGAGGAGGAAGCTGAGGCTCAGAGGGGTCAAGGCCAAACAGGGAGGAGGTGTGGGAGCTGGGACTTGAGCCTGGGTCTGGCTCTTCCCCCTGGTGCTCTGCTGCTCTCCAGCCAAGCACTGGATGTAGCAGTCACAGGAAAGGGGACCCTGCCTGGGTGCCTGGCAGCCAGCGCTGGGAGCACAGGCCTTATTCCAACTCCTGGCCCATGTCAGGGCCTTGGCTGCCCCCATCAGGAGGTAGCACCTCATCTGAGGAGGGAAGGAATGTCACAGTCCGATGTGGAGGCAGCTGCTGGTACGGGTGGGTGTTGGGAGTATGGGTGGCTCCCAAGGAGGAGGCTTCCCTGGCCTGGCCACACAGAACACACCCACATCTACCTGCTAGGCTCTTGACCCCATCTGGGGGAGTGGGTGGAGTGGCAAGGGGTCCCAGCAGAGCAGGGAAGGGAACCCAGGAGTCTTGAAGGACAGGCAGAGTTAGGGCGCTAACAGAGGCCAAGGAATGTACAGGACCCTGAGCCTGACTGTCGATGTTCATAGGCGGAGGGGAAATGGCCCAGAGTACACTTCACCCACCGAGAGCCCAGGACACAGCCTCCATCCAGAGACACCCTTCTCCCCTCCCCACCCTTCCCACCTCTTACTTTCCCCTGTGCCTCCACAGCCTGCAGAAAAAGCAATGGGGTCAGGCACAGTAGCTCATGCTGGTAACCCCAGCACTTTGGGAGGCTGAGGTGGGAGAATTACTTGAGCCCAGGAGTTTGAGACCAGCCTGATCAACATGGGGAAACCCCATCTTTACAAAAAATACAAAATTAGCTGGATGTAGTAGCAAATGCCTATAGTCTCAGCTACTTGGGAGGCTGAGGCGGGAGGATCGCCTAATCCCAGGAGGTCAAGGCTACAGTGAGCTGTGATGAGGCCACTCTACTACAGGCTGGGTAACAGAGCAAGACCCTGTCTCAAAATAATAATAATAATAACAGTTCATGCTTAAGATGCACTTAATATGTGCTGGGCCCTGTTCTTTACTTGTATCAAGCCATTTAATCTTTACAACAAACTCATGATTCCAAAGCCCATTTTACAGATGAGGAAACAGGCACAGAAATATTAAGTTGCCTACAATCTCATTGAGGCTCCAGATGCCATGCTCTTAACCTTGTGTTCTAGCATGTTTGCAAAATGCAGGCTTATTTATCCAAAAGATATTTACAGAGTACCTACTGCAGGCCAGGCAGGCACTATTATGAAGATATAGGAGGAAATGAGACAAAGTCCCTCCCTCTAATGATATCTGTGGCATGGGAGAGACAGAATGTACACAAAAACAGGTCTCATATTTCAGGTGGTAATAGATGCAGTAAAGAAAACCAGGCCACTAAATGAGAGGATAAAGAGTAACAGGAGGCGGGCAGTCAGGGCAGGCTTCTCAGAGGAGTTGACGTGAGCAGAGAACTAAGTGATAGAAGGGAGTGAGCCATGGAAATCTTAGGGGTTAGGAGTTTCTGGGGAGGGTATGGCATATGCAAAAACCCTGAGGCTGGAGTGGAGAGAGTTGCTGAAAGGGAAGGGCAATAAGGAGCAGTTCAAGGGAGAGTATTGACTCACATGAGCCTTGAAGGCCATGATAAAGGCTTTGAAGGTCACAACACCTCCCTAACACACACAGAGGTAGTTTTTTTTTCCTTCTTCTTTTCTTTTTTCCGGAAACAGAGTCTTGCTCTGTTACCCAGGCTAGAATGCAGTGGCACGATCTCTACTCACTGCAATCTCTGCCTCCCGGGTTCAAGTGATTCTCCTGTCTCAGCCTCCCAAGTAGCTGGGACTGCAGGCATTTGCTACCATGTCCAGCTAATTTTTGTATTTTTAGGAGAGATGAGAGTTCACTATGTGGGCCAGGCTGGCCTCGAACTCCTGACCTCAGGTGATCCACCCGCCTCGGCCTCCCAAAGTGCTGGGATTACAGGTGTGAGTCACTGCTGCCGGCCAGAGGTGTTATTTAAAAGTACAATGCATGTGAAACCTGGGATGTAGGTGCTCAATAAAAGGTCTTCATAATTTTTATCATAGTAAAACAAACATAACAAAAATTATCATCTTTAAGTATACACTTCAGTGGCATTAGTATATTCACAGTATCATGCAACTATCACTACTATCTATTAATAGTTCCAGAACATCTTTGTCACCCCAAAAGGAAACCCCATGCCAGTTAAGCAGCACTCCCCATTTCCCTCTCCCTCTAACTCTGGGAAGCCCATAATCTGTTTGCTGTCTCTATGGACTTGCCTCTCCTCGATACAGCATTTCATATCAATAGGATCATAAAATATGTGGCCTTCTGTGTCTGGCTTCTCTCACTTTACATAATATTTCGAGATTTATTCATGTTGTACCATGAAATCAGTACTCCATTCCTTTTTTTTTTTTTTTTTTTGAGATAGAGTCTCACTCTGTTACCCAGGCTGGAGTGCAGTGGCGCAATCTCGGCTCACTGCAACCTCTACCTCCGGGTTCAAGCGATTCTCCTGTCTCAGCCTCCCAAATAGCTGGGATTACAGGCATGTGCCACCACACTCACCTAATTTTTGTATTTTTAGTAGAGATGTGGTTTCACCATGTTGGCTAGGCTGGTCTTGAACTCCTGACCTCAAGTGATCTGCCCACCTCAGCCTCCCAAAGTGCTGGGATTACAGGCATGAGCCACCTCACCCAGCCCTACACTCCTTTTTGTGGCTGTATAATATTTCTCTATTCAGCTGATGCGCATTTGGGTTGTTTCTACCTCGTGGCTACTGCCAATAATGCTGCTATGTACATTGACTTCCAAGTCTTTGTTTGGATACCCGTTTTCCATTCTCTTGGGTATATACCCAGGAGTAGGATGACTGGGTCTTATGGGAATTTTTTGTTTAACTTATTAAGGAATCTCCATACTTTTTCATAGGACCATTAATATTTAAATTGCCGAGCCAGGTGAGCCTGCTCATATTGTAATCCCAGAACGTGCTTTGTTGCCAAGGCAGGAGGATCACTTGTGGCCAGGAGTTCAAGACCAGCCTGGGCAACATAGTGAGACCACATCTCTACAAATAATTTAAAAATTAGCTGAGCGTGGTGTCTCGCACCTATAATCTCAGCTATCTGGGAGGCTGATGCAGGAGGATTGCTTGAGCCCAGGAGTTTGAGATTACAGTGAGCTATAACCCCACCACATTGTTTCAACCTGGGCAAAACAGCAAGACCTTCTCTCTACAAAAAAAAAAAAACAAGTCAAAACAAAAAGACGGCATGGTGGCTCATGCCTGTAATCCTAGCACTCTGGGAAATGGAAGAGGGAGGATCACTTGAGCGCAGGAGTTCAAGACTAGCCTGAGAAACCCCATCTTTACAAAATTATATGGGCATGGTGGTACACGCCTGTAGTCCCAGCTACTAGGGAGGCTAAGGTGGGAGGGTCACTTGAGCCTGGGAGGTCAAGGCTGCAGTGAGCCATGATCAGGCCACTGCACTCCAGCCTGGGCAATAGAGCGAAACCCTGTCTTTAAAAATACACACACACACACACACGCAAATACACACACACAGAGTTATTATTATAAGGCCTCCACCACCTCTAATTGCACCCCTCCCACCCACCAAACACCCTCATCCAAAGGCTGGCTGGCTATCTGGCTTCTGCCATCTCTCCCTTCCTCCCTGCCATTGGACTGCCCAGCAACTTACTGGAGCCCCCTTGCCACCCCCAACAGGTGTTTGGGGACCTGGACCAGGTGAGGATGACCTCGGAGGGCTCTGACTGCCGCTGCAAGTGCATCATGCGGCCCCTGAGCAAGGACGCGTGCAGCCGGGTGCGCAGCGGGCGGGCGCGCGTGGAGGACTTCTACACAGTGGAGACCGTGAGCTCGGGCACTGACTGCCGCTGCTCCTGTACTGCACCTCCCTCCTCACTCAACCCCTGTGAGAATGAGTGGAAGATGGAGAAACTCAAAAAGCAGGCACCCGAGCTCCTCAAGGTAGATATGGTGGGGTGATGGAGGGAGTAAGGGCCGATCATGAGCTGGAGACTGCTGTCCTGCCAATGAAAATTCCACATACTCGGCGAGGCGGGTGCTGTGACCACCCCATTTTACAGATAAGGAAGCTGAGGCTCCCTAAGGGGAAGCCACTTCTTGCCAGTGACAGAGGCAGGATTTTTCTGCTAGTTTATCACCTATTCCAGTATCCTGTATTTTACCCAAACCAATTCAACCATCGGCACCTAGCTATATTTTAAATTTAAATTTTGTGGCAGTACTTCGTTTTGATTTTGTTTTGTTTTTTTTATTTATTTTTGAGACAGAGTCTCACTCTGTTGCCCAGTCTGGAGTGAAGTGGCATGATCTCAGCTCACTGCTACCTCTACCCCTGCAACAGGATTCAAGTGATTCTCCTGCCTCAGCCTCCCGAGTGGCTGGGACTACAGACGTGCACCACCACACCTGGCTAACTTTTTTTGTATTTTTAGTAGAGATGGGGTTTCATCATATTGGCCAGACTGATCTTGAACTCCTGACCTCAACCGACCCACCCACCTTGGCCTCCCAAAGTGCTAGGATTACGAGTGTGACCCACTGTACCTGGCCTTCTCTGAGTTCTTTTTGTTTTTTTCTTTTTGAGACTTGCTCTGTCCCCCAGGCTGGAGTGCAGTGGTGCGATCTCGGCTCACTGTAACCTCCACATCCCGAATTAAGGTGATTCTCCTGCCTCAGCCTCTCGAGTAGCTGGGACTACAGGCGCCAACCACCACACCTGGCTAATTTTTTTTGTATTTTTAGTAGAGATGGGGTTTCACCATATTGGCCAGGCTGGTCTTGAACTACTGACCTTTTGTTCCACCCTCCTCTGCCTCCCAAAGTGCTGGGATTATAGGCGAGAGCCACCATGCCTGGCCTTCTCTGAGTTCTGAAACCATTCTGTGAAATATAGGATCATCTCCTCATGGGAAGGTGAGAAAACCAAGGTTGATAGAACTTAGGTAACTTGCCCAACCTCACATAATGACAGGCAGCCTCCAACCTATGCCATACTTTTGTGCAAATTAAAAACCCTCAGCTGGGCATGGTGGCTCACACCCGTAATCCCAGCACTTTGGGAGGCCAAGGCAGGTGGATCACCTGAGGTCAGGAGTTTGGCCTGGTCAGGAGTTTGACACCAGCCTGGCCAACATGGTAAAACCCTGTCTCTACTAAAAATACAAACAAGTATCTAGGTATGGTAGCAGGTACCTATAATCCCAGCTACTCAGGAGGCCGAGGCAGGAGAATTGCTTGAACCTGGGAGGCAGAAGTTGCAGTGAGCTGAGATCGTGCCACTGTACTCCAGCCTGGATGGCAGAGTGAGACTCAGTCTCAAAAAACAAAAAACAAAAACAAGAGGGGTTGGGCATAGTGGCTCATGCCTGTAATCCCAGCACTTTGGGAGGCTGAGGCGGGTGGATCATGAGGTCAAGTGATCGAACCCATCCTGGTCGACATGATGAAACCCCACCTCTATTAAAAATACAAAAAATTAGCTGAGCATGGTGGCATGTGCCTGTAATCCCAGATACTCAGGAGGCTGAGGCAGGAGAATTGCTTAAACCTGGGAGGTGGAGGTTGCGGTGAGCCGAGATTGCACCACTGCACTCCAGCCTGGGCAACAAGAGCAAAACTCCATCTCAAAAAAAGAAAACAAGAAACCTTCAGCCCCCCATAGGAAGATGAAAAGAGGCACCACCTCTGGTCAAAATAGCCCCATACCAGGGCCCCCACCAGGACTCATGCCTTGGTCTCAAAAAAAAACAAGAAACCCTCAGCCCCCCATAGGAAGATGAAAAGAGGCACCACCTCTGGGCAAAACACCCCCATACCAGGGCCCCCCACCAGGACCCACGGCTTGGTCAGACATGTCTGGGATAGATCTCAGTCCCCACAGCCAGTGGGCACCTTCATGCCATTTGTACTATGCTCAGTTAGGTGCTCAGTGGGTCTGGTGGAGCTAAGATTTGAACCCAGGTCCTGGGTGTCCAGAGCATGAGTTCTAAACCACCTTGCTTTCCTGTCTTCTGTTTTGTAAAGAACCGGATTGTTTGGTGTCTTTTTGTTTTGGGTTGTTTTTTTTTTTTTGAGGCAGGGTCTTGCTCTGTTACCCAGGCTGGAGTGCAGTGGTGCAAACACAGCTCACTGCAGCCTCAACCTCCTAGGCTCAAGCAATCCTCCCACCTCAGCCTCCCAGGTAGCTGGGACCACAGGTGCACACCATCAGGCTCAGCTAATTTAAAAATTTTTTGTAGAGATGGAGTCGTGCTGTGTCATTCAGGCTGATCTCAGACTCCTGGGCTCAGACAATCTTCCCACCTCAGCCTCCCAAAATGCTGGGGTTACAGGAGCGAGCAATTGCACCTTTCCAGTTTGGTGTCTTTTGAAAATATGTTTTTCTTTTATAACTTCTCCCAAACTATATATATTTTGCCTGTTTGGTGTCAGAAACTGTGAAAGGTCTGAAATCTTACCCTACTTGTAAGCTAACAAGTTAGCCTTCCAGTTTAATGGAAGCTGGCAGAAGATGCAGCCTCCTGGTTCAAAGACAAAGGACTTTATTGCAGCAAATCTACATTTTCTTACACTGGTTTTCCCAGCTCCAATTGCCATGGGCTAATGCAGTGAGGGTGAGATAACACCTGCATGTATAATAAGGTGTGTTACAGTGAGGAGCCCCAAGGTTAGAGAATCTGAGTTGTTTTGTTTTGGTTTTTTTTGAGAGAGAGTCTCACTCTGCCACCCAGGCTGGAGTGCAGTGGCATGATGTCGGCTCACTGCAACCTCCACCTCCCATATTCAAAGAATTCTCCCTTCTCAGCCTCCCAAGTAGCTGGAATTACAGGCACACACCACCATACCCACCTTATTTTTGTATTTTTAGTAGAAACGGGGTTTCACCATGTTGGCCAGGCTAGTCTTGAACTCCTGACCTTGTGATCTGCCTGCCTCAGCCTCCCAAAGTGATGGGATTATTGGCGTGAGCCACTGCGACTGGAGAGAGAATCTGAGTCTTTTATAATGGGCACCAAGCATGCCTGCCCTTTCGTCTGAAAGGAAACAGTATCTCTGTTTTCTAAGGCTCTCAACTGTGCAGCTAGATGGCTCAGCGCAGAGGCAATCAATGCTTCTGCAGCAAGTCACCCAGAAAAGCAAGACATCCATGAAGAACTGTCTTCCAACATTTGGCTAAAAATGTTTTCTTTAAATTCAACTTTAGTTTGGTTTTTGTAATGCCTGAATGGATGCCAAGTTCTCAAAACTGGGTGGGGAGTTGTGGGGAATGAATTTTAAGCAAAGTCGCATCTTGATAGCTTGGCAGTCCCTGGATCACTCTGTCTCCCTGGGTCTCACTTAGGACCCTGCAGATTTAAGGCACCCAGGCCCATGGCCAGTCTTCAGTTACAGGAATAAACCCAATTTCTGCTCAAGTCAACTTCTCGATGACTGAAGTGTACACCTGCTTGACATGAGGACACGCAAAGCTATTCATAAACACAGGCTAAGTTAATTTTTGGCTAATTGAATCTTTGCTACACCCCTCTGGAGAGGGGACATATGCTACCAGCTTTACTAGTGGGAGAATCTGAGGCCCAAAGAGGGCCTGTGACTTGTCTAAGATAATACAGCTTCTAAGCAGTACTAAGATTTTTTTTTTTTGAGACAGAGTCTCACTTTATCACCCAGGCTGGAGTGCAATGGCACAATCACAGGGCAACCTCTGCCCCACTTCCCCTTTCAAGTGATTCTCGTCTCAGCCTCCCAAACAGCTGGAATTACAGGTGCCCGCCACCATGCCCGGGTAATTTTTTTTGAATTTTTAGTAGAGATGGGGTTTCACCATGTTGGCCAGGCTGGTTTCAAACTCCTGACCTCAAGTGATCCACCTGCCTTGGCCTCCCAAAGTGCTGGGATTTCAGGCATGAGCCATGTATTAAGATTTGAACCCAGGAATTCTCTACTTTGTCCCTTGCCCACTGAAGGGTTATGAGACCGCTTTCTCAGCCAGGAGCCCACAGTCCCTTGGGCCTTCTCAGTGCACAGCTGCCACGGGGCTCTGGATCCGCAGAACTGGGGGAGGGTGATGGGGGATTGACCTGGCAGGTGGGGCTGGAGGAGGAAGAGAGGATATGCTGCCTCACTGATACCCCAGGGGTAGGAGTGGGTACACTTTCAGAGATTCATAAGAGGAGCAGGCAGCAGAGGCAGTAGAAGACAGAGCTGGGGGTTCCTGTTCAACTTGGCTCCCCCTCCCTCAGCAGGACAAACTCTGCAAGCATCCCCCAAGGGAGGAGGTTAAGGGGAGCCCACGGGATGGGGCTGGGGCACCTACCCTATATCCCACCCCTGTCTCTATCCCAGCCTTTCCCTCAAGCTAATAACTTCGGCTGCTGCTTGTCCTCAGCAGCATGACTGCAGTAGGAAAGACCACATTTTGAGTAGCCTAACTACTGTCCCTGTTTTGGCTAGGAGTTGGAGGATGCCTGTCACCTCCCCACTCCTTTTTCTTCCTAATGGGACCAGACACGGCTCCTGCCTTGAAGGGTCCCCAGGCTTGTGAGGACACAGCTGCAGACCCCAGTAATGGCAATGTGATCAGTGCTGGGCCAGGGGACATCCCAGGGATTGTGGGAGTCCCAAGGAGGGGATAGAAGGATAGAGCTGGGCCTTGAAGGATGTGTAGGAGTCCCTCAGGCAGAAAGGAAAGGAGGGCATTTCTGGGTGATGGTAAGTGGGGTAAGTGTGGCACTGGCCTTCTCTATTCTCTGGCCACACCAATGCCTGTGACATCCTATAGCACAGCGCTTCTCAAGCTGCCTGTCAGGGAGGCCAGTTTTTTAAAGATTATAGGTCTGGGCCGGGTGCAGTGGCTCACAACTGTAATCCCAGCACTTTGGGAGGCCAAAGTGGGCAGATAACAAGGTCAAGAGATAGAGACCATCCTGCCCAACATGGTGAAACCCCATCTCTACTAAAAATCCAAAAAAAGTAGCTGGCGTGTGGTACATGCCTGTAGTCCCAGCTACTCAGGAGGCTGAGGCAGGAAAATTGCTTGAAAATGGGAGGTGGAGGTTGTAGTGAGCTGAGATTGAGCCACTCCACTCCAGCCTAGGTGACAAAGTGAGACTCTGTCTCAAGAAAAAAAAAAAAAGATTGAAGGTCTGTCAAGAACCAATATTTTTGTAAAATGCTATACAAATGAATTATTAGAAAAATGGAATGAGGCAGGCCAGGCTCAATAATCCCAGCACTTTGGGAGGCCGAGGCAGGTGGATCACCTGAGATCAGGAGTTCGAGACAAGCCTGGCCAACATGGTGAAACCCTGTCCCTACTAAAAATATAAAAAATTAGCCAGGCATCGTGGCAGGCACCTGTAATCCCAACTACTTGGGAGGCTGAGGCGGGAGAATCGCTTGAACCTGGGAGGTGGAGGTTGCAGTGAGTGAAGACAGTGTTATTGCAATTTAGCCTGGGTGACATGACATGGTGAAAGACTCTGTCAAAAAAAAAAAAAAAAAAAAAGGGAAGGAAGGAAGGCAGGTGAGAAGGCAAGCCAGGCTGGGTGGGGTGGCTCACACCTGCAATCCTAGCACTAAATTAGCTGGGCATGGTGGCGGGTGCCTGTAATCCCAGCTACTCAGGAGGCTGAGGCAGGAAAATTGCTTGAACCCAGGAGGCGGAGGTTGCGATGAGCCAAGATGGCGCCATTGCACTCCAGCCTGGGTAACAAGAGCAAAACTCCATCTCAAAAAAAAAAAAGCACTTTGGGAGGCCGAGGCAGGCAGATCACGAGGTCAGGAAATCGAGACCATCCTGGCTAGCATGGTGAAACCCCATCTTTACTAAAAATACAAAAAATAGCCAGGCATGGTGGCACACACCTATAGTCCCAGCTACTTGGGAGGCTGAGGCAGGAGAATTGCTTGAACCCGGGAGGTGGAGGTTGCGGTGAGCCCATATCATGCCATTGCACTCCAGCCTGGGCAACAAGAGTGAAACACCATCTCAAAAAAAAAAAAAATTTAAATTGAATTTTAAAAAGCAAGCCAGAAAGAAACAGAGAGAAAGCAAGCCGGACATGCACAGATAAATCTAGTGTTTTATTGTGAGGGTCAACAGATATAAAATAGCTCTGTCAAGGGGCTACAAAAGTTCCTGAAAACTTCCTCCCACTTTCTGTAATGATTGTATTGCAGGCTGGTGTTAAGCAGTGTCTGGTCAGCAGATCACACGTTGAGTGGCATGGCTGCAAACGCCACATTTCTCTTCTCCTCCTGTTCACAGCACAGGCTGCTCCCTTTACTCGGCATGTCCTTTTCTGGGCATCTTTGCCTAATTAGTGCTCCTCCTACAGAGCTCAGCCCAAACAAAACTTCCTCCTGGCATTCCTTCCTGATCCACACCTATGCCCAGAAAAGATCAGCACCCATCATTAATGATCTGGGCACCTATGTGTCACTACCTGTGCCCCTGATTCTGGACCTAGGTGTCACTGTGTGTCATTGGCAGCCTGTGAGGGACCGGGGTGCCCCACGTTGTCTTGCTCATCACTGTCCTCAGTGCCCGACTGAGTAAGCACCTGCTGGCCTGGAGGAGGGTGGCAGGGGCAGATCACAGAGGGGTCAGATGCCAGCCTCAGGAAATGAGAAGCCACATGTGGGCAGTGGGGAGCCACAGGGAGTCATCTTGAGGGAGAGGGACCCTTGCCAAAGCCCGTGTTGGTAGCCACGAAGGCAGGAGCGTGAAGCTGGGAAATTCCCGCGTACCCCTGGGAGGAGCACTCAGTGCTGCTGGGCTTCATGAAGCCCTCTCTGTGTCCACGCAGTGCTGAACTCCGGCCAGACGCTACTTTTCCTTACCACGGCCCTATTGCCCCATTTCTCAATGCAGAAAGCTGAGGCACAGAAGCGTGTGTATGGTTCTCAAACTGTGTTCCATAGAGCCTTAGGGGTCCCATCCAGACCCTCGGGGCCAAAGCAAGGTTGTGGGAGAGCAGAGAAGCCTCTGAGCCTATCTTTGCTTCCAGCAGAGCCTTCTACCACCACCCCACCCCTCTGCCCACCATCTCTGTTTTAGAGATCAGCTTCTGCTCAAAGAAAAGCTCCCTGGCTTAAAACAGTTTAAGTACCCCCTGGGAAGGTAGGAGTAAAACTGTTTTGGAAATAGCCAGCCAGGGCCAGACAGGAGCACTGGCCTCTGCAGGCCCTGGGAAATGCCGGAAGGCTCAGGGTGGGGCTGAACGGGAGGGTGGGGCCCAGGAACTGCCCTTCCCAAGAAGCCAGGAAAGGTTGGTTTCCCAACCAGCCCCTTGTGCCAACATCTCCCTGACACTGGCATTTTGGCCATCTGGAGGGAGTGTCATATCCTAATGAGGCATGACAGAGATAAGAGGGGGAGTGGTGGCTGTAGGGCAGAGCCCTGGGCTGGGCCAGGGAGACCCAGTGGCTGCTTCAGGTCCTGCTGCTGACCTGTTGTGCAAGGCCCTCCCCGTCTCTTGGCTGCTGTTTCCCCATCTGACCAGGAGACAGTAGCCATAAAGCATGATAGGAAAGAGACGGCGATCGTGGTATCTCCCCTGCTGGGTAAGTGTTGGGAAAGAGATGTGGATTTATATGAATTCAGGTTCTGCTTCTGGTTCCACCATTGAACAGCTGGGTGGCCTTGGGCAAGTCACTTCCCCACCTTTAAACTTCAGCTTCTCCATCTGTAAAATGAGGGTGAAAGTTGTCCATACCTGGTGTTAGTGTGGGCCACTAGAGGCAGGCTCTGAAGCCAGAGATTCATGTGCAAGTGATTTATTTTGAAAATACTCCTGGACTGGGCGTGGTGGCTCATCCTTCTAATGCTGGTGCTTTGGGAGGCTGAGGCAGGAGGATCACTTGAGGCCAAGGTGGGAAGTTCATTGTTCAAGACCAGCTGGCATAACATAGTAAGATCTCATCTCTACAAAAAATAAAAAACTTAGCCAGGCAAGGTGGTGCACACCTGTAGTCCTAGCTACTCCAGGGGATGAGGCAGGAAGATCGCTTGAGCTCAGGAGTTTGAGATTGCAGTGAGCTATGATCGTGCCACTGCACTCTTGCCTGGGTGACAGAGTCTGAAAAACAAACAAGGCCGGGCGCAATGGCTCACACCTGTAATCCCAGCACTTTGGGAGGCCGAGGTGGGCGAATCACGAGGTCAGGAGTTCAAGACCAGCCTGGCCTAGATGGTGAAACCCTGTATCTACTAAAAATACAAAAATTAGCTGGACATGGTGGCACACACCTGTAATCTCAGCTACTCAGGAGGCTGAGGCAGGGGATTGCTTGAATCCGGGAAGTGGAGGTTACAGTGAGCCAAGATCATGTGACTGCACTCCAACCTGGGTGACAGAGTAAGACTCTGTCTCAAAAACAAACAAACAAAAAAAGAAAATACTCTCCTGAGAAACTGGCAATGAAGTGGGAGAAGCAGGATGGGGAGAAGAGGGCATCCAAGTGAGAATGTGGCCTTGGGCAAAGTGCCAGCCTCAGTCACATCCCCAGAGGAGTTCTGGAGGAGGGACAATGGCTCAGTTCATCTCCACTGGGGCTAGTGAGCCACGAGTATAGATGCTCATGCCAGTAGGTCATTGCCTCAGGGCAGCTGCAGGAAGATGGCTACTCCCTGGCACTTTAGGGGCAAAGCAACTCTGAAGAGAGTCACAGATGGACAGCAGGCACATGGAAGCCAGGGATGGGCACAAAAACCAGTAAGAAGGATCTCAGAAGATTCAGACCAGCTCCGCCAGTGCTCACTACACACTTCATGAGACTGTTACAACAATTAATTGGCATAACTCATTAAAGCCCGCAGCACAGTGCCTGGCACATGGTAAGGGCTCAGAAGATGGACCTGCGGCTTTTCTTGTGGTTATTAGCAGGCTGGGGCTGGTGAGTGTTCAGGGCCCATGCCAGCCACTCTGAGGCTCTGGACTTCTGGAATTCTTTCTTGTTTTATTTTATTTTACTTTTGTAAGAGGGCCTCACTCTGTCACCCAGGCTGGAGTGCAGAGACATGATCTCGGCTCCCTCAGCCTCCGCCTCCTGGGTTCAAGCGATTTTCCTGCCTCAGCCTCCCGAGTAGCTGGAACTACAGGTGCACACCACCATTCCTGGCTAATTTTTGTATTTTATAGAGATGGTGTTTCACCATGTTAGCCAGGCTGTTCTTGAACTTCTGACCTCAGGTGATCCTCCTACCTCGGCCTCCCAAAGTGCTGGGATTACAGGCGTGAGCCACCATGCCTGGCCCAGCTTCTGGAGTTCCTAATTGCAGCGGAGCTCCTTTTACCCTCTGTGCCTAGCCGGCCACGTGCTGTACTCTCTAACCATCCCCTTTCCCCGGGCAGCTGCAGTCCATGGTGGATCTCCTGGAGGGCACCCTGTACAGCATGGACTTGATGAAGGTGCACGCCTACGTTCACAAGGTGGCCTCCCAGATGAACACACTGGAAGAGGTAAGGGCAGGGCTGCTGCCAGAGGCCAGTGTGGTACTGGGGGCTGAGGGCACTGTCCGAAGAGGGCCCAGGAAATCCAGACTTCACCCTGGTGACCATGGGAAGCTGACCTCCAGCCAGGAGTTGGGGGAGGGAAACGCGGGCCACAGGAGCCAGCCTCTGGGGAAGAGCTCTAATTGGCTCAAGGGCCTCCAGGAAGCTGAAGTCTGGGTGGAGAAACTGAGGCACCTGCTGGTTGTATGAAAGGGGTACAGAGGGAGTGGGAACTTGCAGTTGGCCTCAGTGCACCAAGATCAGGACTCAAAACTCTGGGGGTACCATTCAAACAAGATTCCTTGGTGGTTGGGCATAATGGCTCAGTGGCCGGGTACAGTGGCTCATGCCTGTAATCCCAACACTTTTGAGAGGCTGAGGGAGGCGAATCACTTGAGGCCAGAAGTTTGAGACCAGCCTGGCCAACATGGCGAAACCCTGTCTCTACTAAAAATACAAAAATTAGGCATGGTGAAACACACCTGTAATCCCAGCTACTCAGTGGCCAGGTGCCGTGGCTCACCCCTGTAATCCCAGCTACCCAGGCTGAGGCAGGAGAATTGCTTGAACCTGGGAGGCAGAGGTTGCAGTGAGCTGAGATCGTGCCACAGCCTGGGTGACAGAGCAAGACTGTCTCAAAATAAAAAATAAGATACCTTGTTAGAGTGCCCCCTGGGTTGGTACAACATGGCAGGACTGACCAAACCCACTAGGCCCGTGCCCAGCTGCTGTGGAGGCAGAGGTGCTACACGTCCTGCCCTGGTCAGGGTGAATGTGCTATAAGACTGGGCAGGGGACCAGGACTGCCCTTGGGGACAAGGACAGAGTGGGGTGAGCACAGGGGTCCAAGCTGCAGGTTTGAGGTTTGCATCTCTGCTGGCACAGCCTCACCTCCGCCTGTTTCCTGTATCCGGCCTCTGCTGGGAGCCACTGGGAGTCTCGGGACATACAACTGCCAGGAGTGGGTGTGGGGGCTTCCTTTCCCAGCTTCCTTTTCAGGGGGAGGGGGCACCTGGGCATCCTGTGCCCCAGGGTGGGAGATTAACCCTTTCCTCACCCCAGAGTTGGGATCACAGTGTCTTTAAGTAATTCAAAAAGTGTTTGATAGGTACCTACTATTGGCCATGTCCCCGACAGCAGTGGAGAAAGCTGACACTTGGTGAATTTCTTCTGTGCGCCAGTATTTCCTGGGCAGCTGGTACATGCCAGGCTCTCCTGTTGCTGGCTCTGAAGTTATTCTCCTTTGATCTTTCCTCTTGTCACCTCAGGGAATGTTAACCCACTTCATGTAACTCTGAGCCAAACAATCTGGAGGGTATACATCTGCTAGGCCTGAATCAAACCAGGGTTTCTACAGCCACAGAGAAATGGCTTTTTAATTATTTTCTGTATCGAATTATCTGTGCTACGCTTCTGTTAACCATGGTTTACTAAGTGATAACCTTATGTAAAAATTAAAAATGAAAAAAGCTTTTGCTCCCCCTGGGAGGAGGTGGAGAGAACAGCCTCACTCAGGAGAGGCTGGCTTTCTCTGCCAAAGGGAAGAAACTCCTGGGGGTCAGCAGTAACTCGGTGTCTCAGCTTCCTTCTGCTCCCCTCCCTGACACCAGCAGTTTTCAACCAGGCATGATTTTGCCCCCAGGGGAAAGCTGGCAATAGCTGGAGACATTTTTAGTTGTCACAACTTAGGCGGGGGACAGGATGGATGCTACTGGGCTTCTACTGGTTAGAGGCCAGAGATTCTGCTGAACACCCTGCAATACACAGTCCCCAGAAGCCAACCACTGTGTGGCAGATGTCAGTAGTGAAGAGGCTGAAAAATCAGTCATACACTTTGACTTCTGTCATCACTGGAATCAAGTTATTTTGGTTTTGTTTTGTTTTTTTTGTGTTTTTTTTTTTTTTGTTTGATTTTTTGAAACAGGGTCTCGCTCTGTAGGCCAGGGTAGAGTGCAGCCTCAACCCCCCAGGCTCAACTGATCCTCCCACCACAGCCTTCCAAGTAGTTGGGACTGCAGATACACACCACCAAACCCAGCTAATTTTTTTGTATTTTTTCTAGATATGGGGCTTTACCATGTTGCTCATGCTGGTCTTAAATTCCTGGGCTCAAGCAATCCTCCTGCCTCAGCCTCCCAAAGTGCTGGGATTACAGGCATGAGCCACTGCACCTGACCCCTGGAATCTAGTTTAAAATGCACTTTCATATTCCATAGGCTTTCTGGTCCTCACAGTGACCCTGCCATTTAGCCCATTTTACAGGCAGGGAAACTGAGGCTCGCAGAAGTAGTTACTAGCCCAAAGTTGCCCACCCAGAAAGTAGAAAGCAAGGATTTGAATTCAAGGGTATCCAATTCCTGCCTGCTGCCTCTTGGTCCCTGAACCTGAGTCACCCAGGGCTGACTGGATGTCACTTACTTTTAGGTTATCTTTTCCTCTGTAACAATTTCTATAAATTAAATTCTGGACCCATAATTCTGTTGCTCTGCAGCTTCTCACCAAACTGGTACTTTCTGCCTCTGACTCCTGTCTCTCCTGCTTTAGCTGAAAAATAGACTCAGGTGAAAGAATCTCACATCCATTGGAGCTTTGGGGACCTGGTACTGATACCTGCCAGGCCCCCCAGGTTTCCAAGTCCTCAAGGAGACCGCTAGAGAGCAGGAGGTTCACAGAGCAGGGGGCATTGTGGTTCTAAGCAGTCTGTCTGCTCCTAGCAGGATTCAGAACCAGGATTAGATCCAGGAGCTGGTGTGGGAGCTGCTAAAGGTAGGCAGGGAGCCAGAGCCCCAGCAAAGGGAGATGAGGCAGGGAAGGAGAACAGGCCTGGGAGTATAGGCAGGGCTCAGTCCCGGGAGAGGAGCCCACACGGCCCAGGAGAGAAGTTGGAGACTTGGAGGGAGCAGAGATTCACCCTCCGCAAAACCCCAAAGGGCTTCACTCCATCTACATTGTTTGAAGATTTTACAAACAGAAGGTATTTATGTATTATGTATACAATTATTTTAAAGTAGCCAAAGATTGGAAGCAACTTAAGTAACTAACAATAAGGGGCAGGAATGGTGGCTCACACCTGTAATCCCAGCACTTTGTAGGACTGAGGCGGGCAGATCACTTGAGGTCAGGAGTTCAAGACCAGCCTGGCCAACATGGCAAAACCCCGTCTCTACTAAAAATACAAACATTAGCCAGGCGTGGAGGCATGCGCCTGTAGTCCCAGCTACTCAGGAGGCTGAGGCAGGAAAATCGCTTGAGCCCGGGAGGAAGAGGTTGTTGCAGTGCCTTGAGATCACACCACTGCCTTCCAGCTCTGGGCAACAGAGTGAGACTCCATCACAAAAAGAAAAAAGAAAAAGTAGCCATGAATAAGGGACTGGATGGCCGGCCACAGTGGCTCACACCTGTAACCCCAGCACTTTGAGAGGCCAAAGCGAGCAGATCACTTGAGGCCAGGAGTTCAAGACCAGCCTGGCCAACATGGTGAAACCCCGTCTCTTTTTAAAAATACAAAAGATTAGCCGGGCCTGGTTGTGGGTACCTGTAGTGCCAGCTACTCAAAAATAAATAAATAAATAAATAATAAGGGACTGGGTAAATAAATTATAGCCTCTCAAGTGATGGCATACTATGTGGCCATGAGAAGGCATGGGAGCACTATATATGCAGATATGCGTTGGATCCCAGAATAGGCTGTTCAGCAAAAAAGCAAAGAAAAACATGCGTGTATGTGTACATGTGTGTGTACGTGTGTGTATGTATGCATGTGTATATGTGTACATGTGTTCATATGTTCCTCTAAATACACAGACTCTTTTTAGAAGGATATGCAAGAAACCTATAATAATTGTTGGCACTGAGAAGTAAAGGTGGGAGGGTGACATTTTTATAGCTGTTTATATCTTTCTAATTTAGTACCATGCACATGTATTATCTATTTTTTTAATTCCTTCACGTTTTTAATTTTAAAAGTTCATAAATACAAGGTCTCTTGGAGCCTATTTTTCCAGCCCATACTCGATGGGGCCACCCTCAGCCCATTCAGGGGACTGGGCAGCAAAGCCTAATGACTGAAGCAGGGGTGTCCCTCCAGCCTGGGGGTTCAGAGGAAGCTGGCCCAGGAAAGACCTCCAATCCTGCCCCTCCACAGAGCATCAGGGCCAACCTGAGCCGGGAGAATGAGGTGGTGAAGGAGAGCATGCGCCACCTCAGCGAGCAGTTGAGGCACTATGAGAACCACTCCGCCATCATGCTGGGCATCAAGAAGGAGCTGTCTCGCCTGGGCCTCCAGCTGCTGCAGAAGGATGCCGCCGCCGCTGCCGCCCCCAACACCCCTACTACGGGCTCTGGTAGCAAGGCCCAGGTGAGTCCCCAGCTCTGATCACGGGGCCAGAGCTGGCTGGGCTTGGGAGCTTCATGTGCCAGGACGTTGGCCCTGAGGGCTAGCTCGTTTGGGGCTGTAGGATGGGTTGAGGGCTGGCACAGCCAGAGAGTCCCTGGCAGGGTGAGGGGCAGGAGGTACCTGCTGTGCAGTGAGCACATTCAGCCTAGGGAATGGGGACAGAACTGGGGATCCCGCCAAGGGGGCTGGTCCCTAAGCCAGGTATTTGGCAATCTTCTCATTCCCAAGTTTGAAACTAGTGGGGACAAGTTTGTGGAGACAGTGCTCTCTGCCTGGCCCTTAGAGACCAGGCTGGCTGCAGCAAATCCGCTTCTATCCTCTCCTGCTGTGGCTGGGCCCTTGGCTGGGTTGAGCCTGCTCAGGGGAAGGTGGGCAATTGCCTCAGGGACCCCTGCAGACTGATAACCATTCACCCAACCCGCTCTGGGGTAATGAATTCCTGCAGCCAACACCCAGATGCTCCACCTCCAAGCTCAGAGCATAGTGAGCAGAGCCACTGCATCCGTCACTAGGCAGAGCCACACATGACAGCTGACACACCTGCGTGCAAATGTGATCAACGTCCTCCCTCTAGGCAGACGAACTGCAAAGCTGGCTCTCCCTCTGACCAGATCAATGAGAAAGAACAACCATGTTTGGGTAGGCCAGTGGCACAGAGGCTCCTGCCTATGCTGGACATACGCTATGGTATGTGGCTTGGCGAATGGAGTGCAGACTGGATTCAACCCCATTCAGGCCCCTCCAGCCAGTCGCCCCTGGGAAAGAGACAAGCCATACCCTTGTTCACAGTGGCCTTGTTTTTGGTGAGTGGCTGAAGAAGGGAGCTGATATTTGTGGAATTCCTACTTTAAACTTGACTTTCTCACAGACATTGTCAGTGAAACCCATAGTCACCTGAGAGAAGGGGTGACCCCTGCCCATTTGGCAGATGCACAGAGAGGGGTCACTTGGAGAGGGCGTGGCAGAGCTGGGACTGGCAGCCAGGTCTGCGTGACTGCCGAGCCCACCCTCTTCCTCTCTTCCTTTCCACGTCTTGGGCTCCTTTGCTGACATTATGATAATGGGGCCATTTGTGTCTGCAACTGGAACCACCTAGATGCTGATAAAGTGGCTAGGAAGCCTGTGCCTTGGCCCCCAGATGGCTTCCTGCCCATTCCCGTGCCAATTCCACAGGCGAGAATGAAGCGTGTTTTGGCAATGGTGCAGAAGGCGCCCAGCTACTGTACTTGCCGTATCTGCTGGAGTTCCTGCCTAACAATGGGTGATGTCACAGGCCCTATGTTCTTGTGCCAAGCCAGCATCAGAGGCATTTCAATAGGAAGTGAAAATAACAAAACACAAAACGTTAGAAACGGCATAGCCTAGAGGTTGGGTGTAGACCTCAAGCCTATGAGGGAGCTAGAGAGCTGTAGAGGAAACTGAAGCAAATCAGTCATGGATGTAGCCACCATGGCGGGCGGGGTAAAGGAAAGCTGTGACTTCATGAGCGCTTGGGACGCAGGGTCTGGGGCAACATGACCACCTCCAGCCCCCATGTGCTGAGCCCCCAGGACTCCCCACAACATCGCTTCTACTGTCCTTCAAGTCTGAGACTTCTCTTCCCCCCCAGGACACAGCTGGAGGAAAAAGCAAGGACCTCAGCAAGTATGGCAGCGTACAGAAGAATTTTGCAGACAGAGGCCTCCCAAAACCGCCCAAGGAGAAGCTGCTGCAGGTGGAGAAGCTGAGGAAGGAGAGCGGCAAGGGCAGGTTCCTCCAGCCCACAGCCAAGCCCCGCGCCCTGGCCCAGCAGCAGGCTGTGATCCGGGGCTTCACCTACTACAAGGCGGGCAGGCAGGAGGTAACCGAGGCAGTGGCAGGTGAGTAGCGGGGAATGGGGACCCTGGGAAGTGGGGAATGGATGCCTCCTAGGAATCCCCTCATCTTCTCTGCAGTCAGACCACCCCAGATTCAGTTCCACCCATTGATGACCTGTTGGGTGCTCTCTACTTATCCACATATGGAGATAACACCCCACTCAGGGGGCTATTGGGATGAAATCACAGAACCAAGCTGAGGGCCACTGGATTGCTTTCCAGTATTTGCAGCTGTCTTCACCTTCACTGGACTTTGCTTTTTGCATCTGAAGATGAGCTGAAGGTCCACTCCGACCAGGTGACAGGGAATGGCAGAGACACAGTCCCTGCCCCCACAGATCTCATAGCCTAGTGGGAAAAATCCCTGTGACCAGGCAGCTGCCACAGTTGGGGCAGGAGAATACAGGATTCCTGGGAAGTGACCAGGGCTTTTGGGGCTCCTCTCATTTCCTCTCCAGCTCCTCTCTCTTCTTAGATCCCCAAGGAAAAGCCCCTAGACTCTTGTATTTTTCCTGCAGCTCCCTGCTGGCTCACAGAGAAGGGTGACAAAGTAACTGGCAAACAAGAGGCAAAAGTTTCAAGACACCCCAAATTTCTGAGCTGTCTCTATGGGTTGTAGTTCCTGATTCCCTCACTAACACCCTCCCCAGATGCCTGCTCTCTTCTGATGCTCCAGAGGGGTGTTCCAAACCTGCTTTTCCCTTCCTGGATCCTGCTGAACCACCTCCTCCTGCAAAGCCCTCCTTTCAGTCCGTGTGTAAGGGGCACAAGGAGGTGAAACAGCCAGGGACCAGGCTCCTTTGAGATCCCTCTTGTTTCTTGGCCTCTCAGGACTCAGGGGCCTCTTCCCTCAGCACCTGGTCCCAGCTGCTGGCCCAAGCCCTGCCAGCTTGGCCTGGACATGGCACAGAGCCTCTGACCCCTGGCTGGGGTACTGCCTGAAAACAGCTGCAGGCATCTGACTCTGCCAGCAAGGCCTGTGGGAACAGGCACCCTCCCCTGGCAGGCTGCCGAGGCCAGGCCTCCCTATGGTCCTTCCTGACCAGGGGGATAACCCCCGTCCCCACCAGAGCTCCTGTCAGAGCCCTCTTGTTTCTCCAGGCTGCCCACAGCAGGACCTATGCAAAAAGGAAGCCCCAAACAGGGAATAAATGAAGTCAGGTTATTGTCCTCAAGTCAAGGGGTCTCTGAGCCCCTTCCCCAGCTGCCAGGGAGTCCCCTGGGCCCCAGACCATCATAGTAATAACAGCACCACTCCTTTGTCTCCCTGGTGTCACAATTTTTTTGTTTTGAGATGGAGTTTCGTTCTTGTCACCCAGGCTGGAGAGCAATGGTGCAATCTCAGCTCACTGCAACCTCCGCCCCCCAGATTCAAGCAATTCTCCTGCCTCAGCCTCCCAAGTAGCTAGGATTACAGGCACATGCCACCATGCCCGGCTAATTTTTGTATTTTTAATAGAGACGGATTTCACTGCGTTGGCCAGGCTAGTCTCCAACGCCTGACCTCAGGTGATCCGCCCCCGTCAGCATCCCAAAGTTCTGGGATTACAGAAGTGAGCCACCGCGCCCAGTCAGTGTCATAATTTTCTAAACACTTTCTTTTTTTTTTTTTCTTATGAGACAGGGTCTCACTCTGTCACTCAGGCTGGAATGCAGTGGCACAATCATGACTCATTGCCATCTTGACCTTCCGGGCTCAAGTGATCTTCCCGCCTCAGTCTCCCTAGTAACTGGGACCCATCACCACACCTGGCTAATTTTTTCTATTTTTTAGTAGAGAGAGGGTTTTGCCATGTTAGCCAAGCTAGTCTTGAACTCTAGGGCTCAAGTGATCCACCTGCCTCAGCCTCCCAAAGTCCTGGGGTTACAGGCACCAGCCACTGTACCCAGCCTTCTAAGCACTTTCATTCATGCCTTTGCATTTGATCCTGGCAGCAGCTGCATTTCCCACGGCAGAGGAATAGAAGCAGGCCTGTGAAATGGGAACAAGAGCTTCTCTCTAGAATTGAATCTAGGAAATGAGAGAACTGGTAAAACTGCCCAATGCATAGGAAAGAAAGGGATCTCCTTTTTGGCACCTCATAGTTGCTGGGATCTGTGCACATGTTTTATGTACATTTTTCTGACATCAACACCACAGTCCAGCATGGTGGGTTCATGACTCTCAGTTCACAGAGGTGGTCCAGCAAGGCAGGGGAACTTGGCTGAGGCCACCCTGCTGAGTTTAGAGCCCTGACTGTGAAGTCCTCCCTGCCTCCCACTTTGAAACCTTTCACCCCCTCCACTCCCTGAGGGTCCCTGAGCTGCTGGGAGTCCAGTGGGCCTAAGGGAGACCCACACCACAGCCAGTGGTGCTGGAGTGTGAGCATGGGGTCTTCTCTCTGCAGACAATGCCCTTCAGGGGACTTCCTGGTTGGAGCAAGTGCCGCCCAAGGTAGAGGGCGAACCCAACTCCGAAAAGCAGGATGAGGCTAAGCCCAGGTCCTCAGAGGGAGTAGACTTGGCTCCTGGCACTCCCACCTCAGTCCCTGCCACCACCACCACCGCCGCCACCCCGACTCCCACCACCAGTCTCCTGCCTACTGAGCCACCTTCAGGTCCAGAAATCTCCAGCCAAGGTGAGTGAGCCTCACAGGGGTCGGCAAACTGTTGCCTGTACCCAAATCTAGCCCACAGACTGTTTTTGTGCAGCCCTCAAGGTAAGAAATGCTTTCTATAGCTGAGCATGGTAGCTCACACCTGTAATACCAGCACTGTGGGAGGCTGAGACAGGTGGATCATCTGATGTCAGGAGTTTGAGACCAGCCTGGCCAACATGGAAAAACCCCCTCTCTACGAAAAATACAAAAATTAGCCAGGTGTGGTGGTGGACACCTGTAATTCCAGCTACTCGGGAGGCTGAGGCAAGAGAATCACTTGAACCTGGGAGGCAACAAAATTTTTTTTTTTTTTTTGGACAGAGTCTCACTCTGTCACCCAGGCTGGAGGGCAATGGTATGATCTCAGCTCACTGTAACCTCTGCCTCCCAGGTTCAAGTGATTCTCTTGCCTCAGCCTCCTGAGTAGCTGGAATTACAGGTGTCCACCACCACACCTGGCTAATTTTTGTATTTTTAGTAGAGATAGGGTTTCACCATGTTGACCAGGCTGGTCTCTGACTCCTGAGATCAGGTGATCCCCCCATCTCAGCCTCCCAAAGTGCTGGGATTACAGGCATGAGCCACAGTACCCGGCCCAGGTAGTATTTTCAACCAATTCTTAAAACGTCACCTAGAATGCCATCATCAAATCCAGCAACTATTTCTATCTCTTTATTTCCTGTGTCCAGTCACTGGCCCTGTTTTGATGTCAGCATTTATAGTTTTGATTTGTGTCTCATGGTAGAAATCTTCCTTGTGAAGTCATTGATCCCATACTTCCGAAGGGATCTTGGCTCTGTGGTGACAATCCTTCAAACCCTGTCCTGCTTTGGTCCAAGTGCATTCCACTTCTAGGAATCTTTCCTGAAGGATCCACCAGCAATGGGAACAACAGCTGCAGCTTAAATCGTTGGATCAGGGCCTTATTTCTAATGTCAGAGAACTGGAAATAACGTGAAGGGCTGACGTGGGAGGACTGGTGACATACACACAAGGGCACAGCTGTCCACCGCTCTGGCAGAACCTTGAAAGCACATCATTAAAAGGCTATTTAATGATGAGAGAAATTGCTCAATGGAGGCTAAAAATGGGATACATAAAACTGTATACTCACAGCTTTTTAAAGTATGTCTGCATGAATGTACATTGCAAAGAAAAAAGAAAAGGAAGGAAATGTCACATATTTACATTTTTCTTTGGATGGGAGAAGGTTGGGAGGGGGTAAGGGATAAAAGACCACATACTGGCTATATCGTGTATGCTGCTCAGGTGACAGATAACATCAAAATCCAGAAGTCACCACTGAAGAACTCACCCATGTAACCAAAAACCACCTGTTCCCCAAAAACTGTTGAAATGAAATTTTATTATTATTATTGTTATTGGTCTTTGTTTTGTTTTGAGACAGAGTCTGACTCTGTTGCCCAGGCCAGAGTACAGTAGTGTGATCAGAGCTCACTGCAACCTCTGCCTCCTGAGTTCAAGTGATTCTCCTGCCTCAGCCTCTGACCAGCTGGGATTACAGGCATGCACCACTATGTCTGGCTAATTTTCGTATTTTTAGTAGAGACAGTGTTTCACCATGTTGAGCAGGCTGGTCTCGAACTCCCGACATCAAGTGATCCATGAAATAAAATTTTTAAAAAGAGAACAAAAGAACAGAAAAAAATTTTTCTTTGGATAATGGAAATGTTTAGGTTTTTTATTTTATATTTTAAGAGTTTAAAATTTTTTAATCTTTTAAAAAGTAAAAGATTAAACAAATAAAAAAATTTTTAAGTTTTTGTTGACAAAAAGTGTATGCATTCATTTGTTTGGCACACTGCAGAAAGAAACTTTTTTTAATGTATGTGTTTATGATTCACATGACGTTTTGATATGTGTACACAATGTGAGATGGCTAAATCAAGCTAATTAGCATATATATTACCTCACATTTCTTATCTTTTTTTTTTTGAAAGAGCACTTAAAATCTACCCTTTTTGTGTGTGTGTGTGAGATGGACTCTTGTGCTGTTACCCAGGCTGGAGTGCAATTGCGTGATCTCGGCTCACTGCAGTCTCCGCTTCCAGGGTTTCGGTGATTCTCCTGCCTCCTGAGTAGCTGGGATTACAGGCATGCACCACTACGCCTGGCTAACTTTTGTATTTTTAGTAGAGACGAGGTTTCATCATGCTGGTCAGGCTGATCTTGAACTCCTGACCTCAAATGATCCACTCTGCCTTGGCCTCCCAAAGTGCTGGGATTACAGGCATGAGCCATCACACCCAGCCTTAAAATCTACTCTTTTAGCAATATTCAGGTATACAATATGTTGAACTTATTTCCATTAGCTAAAGGAAATTTCAAATCCTTTAAGCAACATCTCCTTAATCCCCCCACCCTCTAGTAACCACTTTTCTACTCTCTGCTTTTATGAGTTTGACTTCTTTTTTCTTTTTTTTCTTCTTTTTGATTTATGAGTTTGACTTTTTTACTTTTTATTTATTTATTTTTTTTTTGAGGCAGGGTTTTGCTCTGTTGCCCGGGCTGGAGTGCAGTGGTGTGATCACAGCTTACTGCCACCTCAACATCACAGGCGCAAACAATCCTCCCACCTCAGCCTCCCTAGTAGCTGGGACACACCACTATGCTCACCTAATTTTTTTTTTTAATTTTTTTGTAGAGACAAGGTCTTGCTATGTTGCCCAGGCTGCTCTCAAACTCTTGAGCTCAACTGATCCTCCCACCTCAGCCTCCCAAAGTGCTGGAATTACAGGTGTGAGTCACGACACCTGGCCAAGTTTGACTATCTTTCTTTCTTTCTTTTTTTTTGACAGAGTTTCACTCTTGTTGCTTGGGCTGGAGTGCAGTGGTATGATCTCTGCTCACTGCAACCTCTGCCTCCCCAGGTCAGGCGATTCTCCAATCACAGCCTCCTGAGTAGCTGGGATTACAGATGCCCCCCTACCACACCCAGCTAATTTTTATATTTTTAGTAGAGACAGGGTTTCACAATGTTGCCCAGGCTGGTCTTGAACTCCTGACCTCAAGTGATCCCCCTCCTTGGCCTCCCAAAGTGCTGGGATTACAAGTATGAGCCACCATGCCCGGCCTCCATTCTCTTTTCTGAATGTTTTATGTTTTCAGTAATGATCAGGCATTGCTTTGATGATGAGGATTGGGGAAAGAAGGCCACAAACAAAATATCAGGAGGGATTGAAGTTAGACCCAGATAACATTCCCAGCCCGTTGCTCTGGCTGGGGGCTTTGGGGGTCTGTGTACTGATGCTGCCTGCCTTCCTCCCCATAGGCAGAGATGCAAGCTGTGAGGGCACCCTCCGGGCCGTGGACCCCCCCGTGAGGCACCACAGCTATGGGCGCCACGAGGGAGCCTGGATGAAGGACCCTGCAGCTCGAGACGACAGGATCTATGTCACCAACTACTACTATGGAAACAGCCTGGTGGAGTTCCGTAACCTAGAAAACTTTAAGCAAGGTCAGGGACCCCGGAGGTGGAGACCGGGCGGGCGTGGACAGCCTGGGGAGGGGTCCTCTTGGAGATTTGGCCTTCCTTGCCTTGTGGCTTTCTATCGTACAGCCTGGCTGAGCTCCAGATTATCGGCCCCCACCAAGGAGGGGGTCTGGGCTGAGGGTGCTGGGCTGGGGTCCCAGTCAGACCCCACGGCACCCCCGTGTGCTAGCACCGTGCCAGGAACCAGAATATAGAGGCAAACAGGATGGACGGGGTCCTGCCCTCACAAGAGTGACTTGCCTTCATCGGGCCAATACTGAGTTTCCATTTGCTGAGTGCTTACCCTGTGCTGATCGCTCCCTGTGTGTCAGCTCATGGCAGCTACATACCTCCAGAAGGTGGGGTTATCACCTATTTTATAGGTGAGCAGGGCCTCGGGCCTTAGAAGAGCTGCAGGTCTGGGCAGGGGCCAGGATGGAGCTGACAGCACAGGGAAGGGCAGAAATCTGGTTATCAGATCTGGGGCATGATGTGGGGAAGGGGTCATTTAGATCTAGCCTGCCCTCCGGAAATGCACAGTCTGGTGGGGGAGGCAAAGGCTTAAAGAGACAATTTCAGTACAGCATTAGAGGGAGCACTGAGGGGTCTATGGGAACCCAGCCTAGAGATCAGGTAAGACATCCCCAGGGAGGTGATGCTGAGCTGGGACCCGGAAGAAGAGTAGGATTAAGCCATGCAGAAAAGAGAGGTAAGGGTGTTCCAGGCAGAAGGCTCAGCACATGCAAAGGCCTGGCAATGAGAAGAAGCTTCATGGCCTGGGGTTGTGGGGTGGTGAATAAGAAAGCTAGGGCAGGCCTCATGAGCCATGTAAAGGAATTTGGCCTTAACCCTGAGAGCTGTGGAGTCAAAACTAAAGGCCTAGAACAGGCCAGGGGCCATGGCTCATACCTGTAATCCTGGCACTTTGGAAGGCCAAGATGGGCAGATCACTTGAGGTCAGGAGTTCAAAACCAGCCTGACCAACATGGTGAAACCCCATTTCTACTAAAAAATTAAAACAAAAATTAGCTGGGCATGGTGGTGAGCACCTGTAATCCCAGCTACTCGGGAGGCTGAGGCAGGAGAATCACTTGAACCCGGAAGGCAGAGGTTGCAGTGAGCTGAGATTGCACCACTATACTTTAGCCTGGGTAACAGAGTGAGACTCTGTCTCGAAAAAATAAAAAAAATAAAGGCCTGGAACAATGAAAATCCTTCCTCCACTAGCTCAGTATTGGCTCAAGCAGCTCACAGGCTGGTGGAGGAAGCCAGTGATAAGCATCAAGGTGAAAGCTTCTGTCTAGTGGCTACAGATGTGTCCTGGGGAGAAAAAAAGACAAAAGGCTATGGGAGGTTAGAGGAGGGGCCCCTCACTCAGGTTAGGGAGGTCAGTGAAGGTTTCCTAGAGGAGGTGACATTGGCCTGGGGCTCTGAAAGATGGGCAGGCATTTCTAAGCTGATGACCTGGAAAACAGCAGTCCTAACTGAGGAACAGCAGGGACAAAGGCCTGGAGACAAAGAACGGGGCTGATGTCACCCTGTGTCTAAATCCTAGCTGTGCCACTCCAGGGCTGGGTGACCTTGACTCCTCTGAGCCTGTTTCCTCTTAAGCAGGTGGGATGATGATAGTCCTCCTTCGGGAGACGCTTGTGCCATAATGTCAGCCCAGCTCCAGGCATACTGTACATGCTTGGTATCAGTTGCCTACTGGGCCACTGAGAGTCCTTGGTGGTTTCAGGGGATGTGAGTGGGCTGGGGTTGCTCGGGAGGTCTGGGGTGACCATCTCCCTCCGCCTGCAGGCCGCTGGAGTAACATGTACAAGCTGCCCTACAATTGGATCGGCACGGGCCACGTGGTTTACCAGGGCGCCTTCTACTACAACCGCGCCTTCACCAAGAACATCATCAAGTACGACCTGCGTCAGCGCTTTGTGGCCTCCTGGGCTCTGCTGCCCGATGTGGTATATGAGGACACCACACCCTGGAAGTGGCGTGGCCACTCGGACATCGACTTCGCCGTGGACGAGAGTGGCCTGTGGGTCATCTACCCCGCTGTGGATGACAGCGATGAGGCCCAGCCCGAGGTGATCGTGCTGAGCCGCTTGGACCCCAGCGACCTCTCGGTGCACCGGGAGACCACGTGGAAGACGCGGCTTCGGCGGAACTCCTACGGGAACTGCTTCCTGGTGTGCGGCATCCTGTACGCCGTGGACACCTACAACCAGCAGGAAGGCCAGGTCGCCTATGCCTTTGACACGCACACAGGCACCGATGCACGCCCCCAGTTGCCCTTCCTCAATGAGTATGCCTACACCACCCAGATCGACTACAACCCCAAGGAGCGTGTGCTGTATGCCTGGGACAATGGCCATCAGCTCACCTACACCCTCCACTTCGTGGTCTGAGTGGAGACCGGTGCCCCAGGGAGAGGGGCAGCAGTGCGGGAGGGGTTCCCCACACCAGCTCCTGCAACTGACCCAATCCACAAATATTTATTGGAGGCTAGCCCAGGGCTGGGACTGGGCATGAGGTGGTCACCAGGTTGAGCTTCCTCAGCACCCAGTGGGAAATACTTGCTTCCACTTGCAGAGCATTGTGCCAAGCACTTTCCGCTCACTTACCCATTGATTCTCCCAGCACCTCCTTGGAGGCAGAGATCATGAACCCATTTAACAGATGAGGAGACAGAGGCTCAGAGAGGCACCGTCCCTTGCCTAACACCTCAGTTGTGAACAGGCAGGCTGTGCTGTCACGACAGCCCCATTTTAGAGATGAGGAGACTTCACCATGCCCTCCCCTCCCTGCCCTCCCCCATCTCCCCTGGTCTCCCTTGTTCTCTAAACTCTGTCTCCCTTCCCAGGGCCACTCAGAACCAGAGGCCTTTGGGGCCAGTATGCTGGTGTGGGGTGGGTGGAGGCCCCAGCTCTGCCTGCCATCCCAGGGCCCTGTCCTGGCTGAGCTGTTGGTGGCCCTGGGCTTTGGGCCCCTTGGCCAATGTCCTTGCCTCTTGCCTTTGGCAAGCCCCCCCAGCCCAGCCCACCCCACCCGCTGTCCGGCCACATTCCAAACCTCTACCGTCACCTAGCTGCTGAGCAGAAACCGCACCCCTAGAGAAAATCCCAGCCTCGTTCCAAGGCCCCTCTCTGCTCCATGCTCATTTTTATTTTTTCTTATTCTTCATCAGTGCTGTCATTTGTTTCTGCAGCAGCAGCTGAGAAGGCAGCAGGCAGCTCTGCTGGGGTGGGGAGCTGTGCTGAGGCTCTGTCTCCACCCAGAAGCACTGGTGCTGGTCACTTAGTCAGGCCTTGAGTCCCCTTCCTGGTTCATCCCAGAGCCTTTGTGCCTGGAGTCCACCTTGTCCTTTTTCTCTGGGCTTTCAAACCCACAACCTTTACACACTCAGGGATACCTCCAGGTCTGCCATGAATAAGACCCTAGGCCCAAGGCTGGTGTGGTGCCAGGATGGCACAGGTTCCCTCTTCCTTGCCAGCCCTGACCTGGTCACTGGGCGGGCTGGCCCAGCAGCCTGGGAGCTATGGAAGACACGGTGTGAGTAGTTGGGTCCAAGGGAGGCATCAGGCCTTCTTCTGGTTGCAGGAGAGAGCCAGAGGGCGGAAGTGGAGAGGGAAGAACTGGAGGTCTGCAGCCTGGACTTATCCTGGTTTCAGAGACGTTGTTGCCAGGGCTGCCCCAAGCCCAGGACTTCGGTTGAGGATGCACAGCTGGGCCACCTCACCCGGGGCCACTGATGGCTCCCTGGAGCCTCAGACCCACACAGCCTAGAGGACAAGGCCTTCAAGCCTCTCCCTCTTCTGCTTTTTCAGGCAATATTTTTAGTGCTGGAAAGAAATTCTCTAGCCCAACTCCCTGTTTCATGAAAGAGAAAATAGGCTCAGAAACATTTAGAGAGCAGCTCAGAATCACAATGGGAGCTGGGCACAGCCGACCTCCTTCCGCAAGGGCTCTGTCTGTCTCCTCTATTCTCCCCCGCATGGAGGCTGCCATACCTGGGAAGGCACCCCAACCACCCCAGCACCTGTGAAGGGTGTTTACTGCTCATCCCCACCCACCCCCTGGCCCTTGCTGCCTTCCTTTTGTCCCAGTGCCAGCTCCAGCAATGTCTGTATGTTTGAATACCAGTTGTCACGTTAGGAAAGTCAGCTGCACAGCTAAGAGTGTAAGAAAATGCTTTTTTTTTTTTTTTTTTTTTTTTTTTTTTTTTTTTTGAGATGGAGTTTTGCTCTTGTCCAGGCTGGAGTACAGTGGCATGATCTTGGCTCACTACAATCTCCACCTCCTGGGTTCAAGCGATTCTCCTGCCTTAGCCTCCCTAGTAACTGGGATTACAGGCGCTTGCCACCACACCAAGCTAATTTTTATATTTTTAGTAGAGACAGGAGTTTCACCATGTTGGCCAGGCTGGTCTCGAACAGACACCTTAGGTGATCTGCCCACCTCGGCCTCCCAAAGTGCTGCGATTACAGGCATGAGCCACCACGTCCAGCCAGGAAATGCTTTTTATGCAGAATACACTTTTTTCGGGCATTGTCAGGTGATGTTTTGTTTAAGGTCTAACTCACCCCTGGAATACAGGGGAATGATGAAACCCAGCCCAGCCAGGCCTGACTCATCACGGTCACATCCAGCCCCCACCCCTGGCAAACCAACCGCTGCAGGCTCCTCTTACAGACACATCAGGGGGCTCCAAGGCCCGGCATCTCCCTTGGCCCTGGGTGTGGGTTTTACGAGACTGTGTCTTTTGTGACATCATAGCCCAACCATGTGAGAAGAAAGAGAAGGCCTCCCCTTTCTTCATTAATCTAAAAAAAGGAAAATGAGAATAGGCTGATTTCTAAAAGTTAAAAGACAAGCAGCACTGCATTCTGGGGGAACAATTCTGGCCACAGCCCCCAAACATTCACTATGCCTCTTCTATTTTCAGACCCTTATAAGTGGGTTATGTGGTGGGTATTGTCAGTTTTTTGTTTTTGTTTTTTTTTCTTCTTGAGGCAGAGTTTCACTCTTGTTGCCCAGGCTGGAGTGCAGTGGCGTGATCTTGGCTCACTGCACCTCTGCCTTCCAGGCTCAAGAGATTCTCCTGCCTCAGCCTCCTGAGTAGCTGGGATTACAGATGCCCACCACTGTGCCTGGCTAATTTTTTGTATTTTTAGTAGAGAGAGGGTTTCACCATGTTGGCCAGGCTGAGGCTGGTCTCAAACTCCTGACCTCAGGTGATCCACCCATCTTGGCCTCCCAAAGTGTTAGGATTACACTTGGCCTCCCAAAATGTTAGGCTCTCTAGGCGTGAGCCACTGCACTCGGCCAGTTTCTTCATTTTACACATGGTCACACTGGAGCCTAGAACAGTGAAGTCACTTGTCACATAGGCAGTTAAGTGGAGAACCAGGTTTTAAAATCAGGTGTGAAAACCATCATTGTTAACTGAGCACCACCTGTGCTAAGCCTGCCACGGGCACGTCCTTGCAGCCTCATAACAGTGGAAGGTCTATATCCTGAATGTGCCCATTTTATAGATAAGGACACTGAGGAGAACAAACTTAGCAGGCTAACACAACAGCTCAGCCCGTTTCAGGTGCTTGTCAGTGCATGTTGCTTGCCAGCAGCCTGTCACTCCAGTAGCTGCTCCAGAAATGGTGGCTGTGGCTTTTATCCACAAACTGGCATCCACAGAGAAGCCCCAAGGAGGAGGTTGGGGCCAGCTCATAAAAAGCCTCAATGCCAAGCCAAGGAGTGAATGCCTCCAGCCATTTTTAGAACAAAGTCAAGTATAAATTTATAGAGAAAAAATTCGAAGACAGTTGGATGTTGTCCTGTTGGTAAGGAGAGGAAGGGAAAGGTTTTTTGTTTCGGGGAAAAGGAACCAGCCCACAACTGCACGCGTGAGCTCTCATGGAAACCTGACCCCCAACAGCTTTTAAGGGTTCTTGATTTTTTTTTAATCTGTTTTGGGCTTTATTATTTTTGGCAAAAGTTTCAAACAAGGGAGGGCCTGGACGGAGGAGGGCCAGGTCTTCTTACTGACCTAGTCCACAAAGGCAAAGGAGGCTGTCTCTGGTGTGACACATGAAGGGGCTTTGGCTACCCCTTGGGTTCCTCCCTAGAGACACAGCTCTTAAATTTAATCTGCTCTCTCCAGGGCAGGGCAGGGGTAGAGAATGGAGCTCCTGCCTTGGGGTCAGTGCTAAAGGTGGAGCTGGGGGATTTTCCTGGGAATGATTTGAGGGCTCCTGAAAGGCCATGTGTTCCAAAGTGCCTTTTCCTCTGGGACAGCATGGGAAGCTGCTGTCGGGGCAGGACACAGCACCGGATGGCTGGCAGGGAGCCCTGGGTTGGAATCCAGCCCCACCTTTCATGCTACAGGTTCGCTCAAGTTCTCTCCCCTTCAGGGTAGGGCTGTGAAGTCCCTCTTACATCTAAGAACATGCAGCTTAGTGAGGACGAGACCCGCCTAGAGCTTTACCACTAATCCCCTCTTCCCCCGGAGCCCCAAGACTGGCATTATTCCTCCCCACTACAGGTGATGAGCCTCAAGTTCAGAGCGCTTCAGCAACCTGCTCAGGGTCTCTAACAGGCAGTAGAGTCAAGGTATAAACCAGATCTGCTTCTGTACCAAAGTCCCAAACTAACTGTTGGTAGGAATCTTGTAACCAGTCATGTTTTCTTCCTTGTTTTGGCCGCTGGGAAGCTCAAAGTCAAATTTGAGACCCTTTTTTAACAATTATGCTGAGTCTACTACTAGACTCACTTCGTTCTAGCTTTCTGCTTTTACCTTTACCCTAATCTTTTTATTTTTCTTCTGTTGTACTTTATCTATTATCCATTTTTGTAAGTTTCCAAGATACCTGTTTTGCAACAAGATGGGATATGTCTAAATAAAGACATGTTCAAAGGTTTGATTTAAAAGGCTGGACTAAATGCTGTGGTCCATATCCTTATCACAACACATACATTTAATAACTTTTAAAATAAATAGTTTGTCATACCTGTAATCCCAGCACTTTGGGAGGCCGAGGCAGGCAGATCACCTGAGGTCAGGAGTTTGAGACCAGCCTGGCCAACATGGGGAAACTTTGTCTCTACTAAAAAATAGAAAAATCAGCTGGGCATGGTGGTGCACACCTGTAGTTCCAGCTACTTGGGAGGCTGAGGCAGGAGAATTGCTTGAACCCGGGAGGCAGAGGTTTCAGTGAGCTGAGATCGCGCCATTGCACTCCAGCCTGGCACCTGGTGACAGAGTAAGACTCTGTCTCAAAAAACAAACAAAAAAAAAATTAGAGGACACTTTATAAGTTGGTAGCAAAAACAACAACAAAACCCGCGCTTTTTTGTTTGTTTGTTTGTTTTGAGACAGTCTCACTGTGTCGCCTGGGTTGGAGTGCAGTGGTGTGATCTCGGCTCACTGCAACCTGCACCTCACAGATCCAAGGGAGTCTTCTGCCTCAGCCATCTGAGCAGCTGGGATTACAGATGCGCACACCACACCCAGCTAGTTTTTGCATTGTTAGTAGAGACAGGGTTTCACCATGTTGCTCAGGCTGGTCTCAAACGCCTGACCTCATGATCCTCCTGCCTCAGCCTCCCAAAGTACTGGAATTACAGGAGTGAGCCACCACACCAAGCCAAAAAAACACTTTTAAACAAATGTTTAAGGAGGAACCTGTATATTACAACAGTAAAAATGAAGCCATTGGCAATGACCACAAACTGGGATACTACATTGATAATAAGCACCACTGGTGCCTTCTGATGGAGACTTTATCTGCTAGACCTCAGGCCCCGTAGCCCTTTGTTAAAAAACAAAATTAGAGGCTGGGGATGGTGGCTCACACCTGTAATTCCAGCACTTTAGTAGGCTGAGATGGATGGATCGCCTGAGGTCAGGAGTTTGAGACCAGCCTGGTCAACACAGGGAAACCGCCCCCATCTCTACTAAAAATACAAAAATTAGCCGGGTATGGTGGTACGTGCCTGTGATCCCAGGTACTTGGGAGGCTGAGGCAGGAAAATCGCTTGAACCCGGGAGGCAGAGGTTATAGTGAGCCAAGATCCCGCCACTGCACAGCCTGGGTAACAGACCAAGACTCCATATCAAAAAAAAAAAAAAAAAAGGAAGACCAGCAAGTGTTTAGGGGACATCAAGGGTACAGTGGACAGCAAGGGGCAGCACATGCACATTGTCCTTGATATACTCAAAGAGATAGACTAGAAAGGGAACAGCTTTCTCCCGTATGATTCAGGCCATCACATGGCAGCGTAGGTACCACGGAGGAGCTGTCTCAACTACCCATGGGTAGACTTGGATTAGGGCCAACTCCACCTCCACATGCACAGATGCACAGATGCCCACAGACACACTAACTCAGCCAGGCCTCCCTCCCCAGCCTCCCTGAGCGGGAGACCAGATTTGGCAAACCTGGGCATTGTCCCTGTAGCCCCTGGCAATGAAGAGGTCCTGCTCGCCACAGACCAACCAGAAGCACAACAGCAACACCACTCCACCACAGCCGTGCCCATTGGAACCACACCCTTCTCACCCTGCACACTGCTGGGGCCGACTCTAGTCCCATGCAAGCCAAATGACTGGGCTTTGGGTGACCTGGATCATGGCAACTCTCCCTGGGGCCTTCACCAGCCTGTCCCATCTGCTCCCCACTACTCCATCTTTCCTGGCTTAAGACCCCAGCCAGAGACCCAGCGTGGTAACTCACACTGGTAATCCCAGCATT